CATAATGTACTGTATACTGAGAGGCACTATAAATGTAACAAATGTTGTTGGCTCCAATATTTATTTGCTGCATTTATAATGCCTCTCAGGATATTTGCTGTAACCTGGATTTACAGTATATATTTCCAATCCACAATTTCTTTGTTTAGCACTAGTTAGAATGTTACTTTGCTTCCCATTAATGCTACTCCTACCTGTGTAATAGGAAACAGGTGTTTGCCTGTACACATATCAGTAGATATATTGAAACCCTTCAGCACACAACCCTAAAATCCAGATGAGGATGAGCTGATTCTAGGTTTGTTTGTTTTTTGGATATGTGATTGTGACATCACTTCCTTTTTCCATTAAAAATGTTTTCAGAAACTTCAAAAAAGAAAATAAGAAATGCAACCCCCAAATTACTATAACATGAAAACTCTGTCTCAGCAAAGTTTTTTTTTCTGACAAAACCTTGATGGAGTTTAATAAATTGTTATAGAATTGACAGTGTACTTCCTTTTTTTCTGTAAATGCTTTTTACAAAGAAAGTTAAATGAAATTAATCAAAGTTAGGGGTTGACATCACTTAATTTTGTGCAATTTTCTAACAATTAAGCTCAGAATGTCAGCTTTGAAACATTTGTCTCCTACACCTAGTCGTGAAAAACCTTTCCGTCCTTAATTGTGTCATGAGTATTGTGCGACAAAATGGTATGATTTATTTTTCTTTTAACATGTTAGCTAATGTGAGAGTTAGAGCAAGAGCCTATCCTGGCAAAAAATGGGCACATGGCAGGACACACCCCAGAAGCAATGAATCCCATTGTTGGGCTTATACAAACACAGGCATAAACACACTCCTTCCAGACCCCAGTTTCCACAGAGCTCAATTAACCTACCAGGGTGTGACTGTGGGAGGAAACCCACGTCAACATGGGGAGAACATACAAGCTCCACGCACATATCACCACAAGAATTGAACCCAGGATACAAGCACTGCAAAGCACCAATACTATCCACTGTGCCACCAGGCAGTGTCAATTTTGCAAAACATTTGTGTTCAGTTTACACCTATAAGTTTAAAGTTAGGTAAGTGGAAAAATAAGATGTTCAAAAATGGCTAGTTATGCCAAGAGTTTGTTCGCAGGTCCGCATAATGTATGAAACTATTCAAGTTTCCATGTATTTTCCATGCAGTACAGATGTGTGTTTGCATACTCACAGTGTCAGGGGAGGTCTGGCTGAGGAAACGGGCCACAGACATGGATTCCAGGGTGACGTTGATGTCTGGCAGAGTGTTCATGATGTACTCCTCAGTGACGTCCTTCTTCAACTTGGGAGGAGGCTGCCTCATTGTTGTTGGTCCATTGGGCATCCAGGCATAGCTGTCGTACTGTAGGCAAAATCAGTTTATTAACAATGCAAGGAAGAATAAAACAAAGTTAAATCAGAGCTGTTCTTTATGTGTTTTTTAGAGGAGTTCCAAAGTATTTTGTCAGATTCTAAAACAGGAACCGAACAGATTTTGCTGATCATTATATAATCATGTATTTAAATTCTTTCTTTCCCTGAAAATAAACACAGTTTAAAGAGTGATATCCTTTTAATGGGTATGAATTTCACCCATCTTTTTTATTTAAGACCTTCAATTTATTTCTTATTTAAGGCCATGAATTTCACACATCTTTCTTATTAAAGGGCTTTGTCTTTGACCTCCCTGTCTTTGTCTTGACATCCTTTCCTACTATTTAAATGGTAACCTACAATGGGTCCCAGTATAGAATTACAGCAATTAATGACAATTTTTCATTACCTACCTCCCTCAATATTATAATATATGTACAACAATCCTAATTCATTCCCCAATTAAGAATGACAAAATTAAGCTTCAGTATTACTCCACCACCAGTGAGTGGAGGAGACCAGGAGCTGATAACAGTTCCATGACCCCTTTTTTATTTATTGTCCTTTCTGATGAGTAGTAGAAATATGTTGTAATTGATTCCTTCATGTGTTGCGCTGCATTTTAAGCACAGAATAACACAAGTTTACTTCAGTTATCCCACAGCAGGTAAATAAGTATAAGATTATTTCTTGGAGATGAAGTTATAACTGGATGACCTCTGGAAGGGATACAGTACCTGGCCATTGTTCACTGACGCATGTTGGGCTGAGCAGGTGAACATGATCATTGTGAGAAACTTTGCGGTCTCTTCTTTGGTTTGTAGAGAGTTAGGCCAGCCTAATCATTTAAATACAAATTGTGGAGAAAGATGTCTTTATACGAGCTTTATTTTATCCTCTGCTTCACATTTGACACTCAGAAGTCTCTGATAAATAGGAGTTATATAATGGTTACTGTATTTATTATAATTTGCTGGCATTGCAAGCTGGTATCAGCAGTTGACATGATTTTGATTTTAATACTCAGAATTTTAAAAGATCAAGGAAATCCTGTTCAGTTCCAGAGACACACATAACCAACTGAGAGTTCGTACCTTCTTTCTTGCCAGTTCCAGTCTGATACAACTTATCAACAAACATCTTAAGCTC